GGATTGATACCTCAAGTGCTACAATGACATGAGTAGTTGAGGAATTGATCAAGGATTGAAAAATTTCTACTATCACTCTCCTGACATATGCACCCACATGATACACCTAAAGGACCAAGCTATGTCCTCTATTGAGCATCAACGACGTCTTAACCCGAACCTCAAGGAGGTGGTTAAGAAGGAGATACTCAAGCTCCTTGAGGCAGGGATAATTTACCCAATCTCTGACTCACGGTGGGTATCTCCTGTTCACGTTGGGCCCAAGAAAGGTGGGATCACGGTGGTTAAAAACGAAAAGGATGAGCTTATAGCCCAAAGAACCATTGATATACTCATATTTTGTCATGTTTAGGATTGCATTTTTGTCCAAATATTGAGTCTCATGCATACATTTAGGTAGTTTTACATATATTTGTCTTTGCTTTTGTCTTTAGTTAGGAAATTGATAACTAAAGTTTTCAAGGCTTTAATAAGGGTTATCAATCCCCTTGTCAAAGTAGTATAAGGGCTGTCAATCCATATGTGTGGTAGTTAGGCACTAGTTTATGTGATAAGTTCTTAAGTCAAGTGATCAAAGACAGGTTTTTGATAACAAGTAACAAATGAAATCATAAACAAGAAACAAACAAGCAATGATTAGGAAGTAATTAAAGCAAGCTCAACAAGATGATGGTGATAATTAAGATGATAAAAGCTAAACCTATAGATGTGATCATTGATTAGGTTGCTGTAGATATCAATTCATGATGCTAAGAACAATAATGCAATGCAAGTTACTCTTTAGTCTAGACTTCAAAAGCAGATTAATTCATTCCCATGACAATAATCCCTTTGCTAATCACTTAATCAAATCTAACAACCATTAGATATAATCAAGCAATCAACAAGCATAATGCATCAAGCCTAATAAGTGACCAAACAATCTCTCAACCAAGAAGACTGAAACTTATACAGAAAGACATAACAAGCAATCACATGATCTCAAACATTTCAACTTAGAACTCTAATCTAGACTAATCCTCTCATGAAGGCATTAATCTCTACACTAATCCACTTTCAAACCAAATTCCCATTTGTGAAATATAAACTAATGAGCATTAAGAAACAGTAGTAATATGTCATTTATGCATTAAACTATCAATCTCTTGATGAAAAAGGCATAAACCCTTAGCTTAGCTCATTCAAGCATTTCATCAAACACCTTGTGGGTGGAGAATGCCTAAGCTCTAGATCAGAGTGATGTGCAAAGATCTAGCATAAAGAGCAGCTAACTAAGAAAATGAAATGAGAATCTAGACCCTAAACATCACAAATCAAACATCTAAGCACCTTAATCTACACACCTAGAAGTTTAAAAGTGACTACTCACTAATCATGATGAACACACCATTTCCTTTGCAAGAGGTGATGTTGAACATGATTAGGAGTTTAGATGAGATGAGTAATTGATAAGAAACAGATTTAGTATGATGTAATCCTTCAGATATCTCTTAATCAAAAACGTTTTTACACTAAAAAGGAAAGAAAATTAGAGAGAAACTAAGATAGAAGATAAGATGTGGGGTTTTCTCCAAAAAGCTATTTACCAGAGTTAATGTAACAAGATCTCCAAAGGATTTTATTCCCATGTCCTTCAAATGCCTCATGGCCTCATAGTAACTCAATCCTGGAGCATAGACTAGCGCAAGCGGTGGTGGGGGCTGGAGGTGGCACTGGCAGTTGAACATACACAGGTGGCGGCACAAACTGCTGGTGTTGGGGATTCACCTGTGGTGGCACTGGGGATATTGATATTGGGGGTTCACTGGGGGTGGCACCTGATGCTGTTGGTTCTGTCCATTAACACGAGAGTTCGGTCCGTTCTGGAGGTATCCATACCTCTCCTGATACTGCCTCAACCCTTCCATCCTGGCAGCATAGTCAACATGTGGCATTGGAGCAGGGTTATTTCCATTCTGGTTTTCATTCCCATTCACACTCACATTTGGCTGCTCAATATGGATTCCTTTCCCATTCACACTCCCAATGGTGGGGTCATTCTCTCCATGAACCTCAGGGTGACAGACAACTCTGGCTCAGGCTTTCTGGTTTGCGGAGCCATCTACAAATTCAGAATAAAGTAGAGGTAAGTAAGTCAGTCTGGTCCCATAAAAACTGATCTTCCTGAAATAATACAACTATTGACTGGAGTGGCTCACCTAGGTGGTGGTTTTATAATATTTGAAAAATCCCCATTTGAGAACTTTTAAATCCGATTACCTTAACCAACTAACCTAGATTCACCCTCACCTCGAACCTCAGCTCTGATACCACTTTGTAATACCCCAATCCGGCCTTCCAAAATGAAACAGTCAAGCGGTTGTGTCTACTAATAAAACTAACCATATTTCCTGATTAAAACTTCTTTATTCCATTAAAATTCTCAAAGTTTGACTAATCTAAATCCGACTCTTAAATTTTAAAATAAATACGAAGCAAATTACAAATAATTATCTTTAAAAGAAATAACAAAAATCTAAATAAAAACATCCTTGTTCCAAATCCGCGCACAACACCAGTATCACTATTCCAGTTCCTTAAATTCACCTGAGAGAGAGAGAGAGAGAGAGAGAGAGAGAGAGAGAGAGAGAGAGAGAGAGAAGGTGAGCAATTGGGATTGCTCAGTGAGAACTAAACCTAGAATTCTTCACCACACCCACTAATATTCCACCAACATGCCAAGTATAGATATAAACAAGTAATCACACATCACGCTCTAGAAGCGCTCACACAACTACACAAACAAGAGAGACCGATCCACAACCACACCAACCACAACTCAACCATACCCGAAGGTAATCTTTGTCCCGAAGACACTTCTCATTCCATACCTGAAGGTAATCTATGTCCCGAAGACATTTCATTAATCTATACCCGAAGGTAATCTATGTCCCAAAACACTTATTCCACACCTGAAGGTGATCTATGTCCCAAAGACACTTCACAAGGGCTCGCCAAAACTCTCCCGGCGGTGAGAACTGACTTGCACTCCAAGTCCAGCCCCAAACACACAATTCCATACCACAATGGTCTTTCAATCTTTGTGACGGACACCTAATAGTGTTTTCATACTACCACTACAAGAAAATGGCTTATTGATAGCACTGTTGCATAGCGTAATTATCATAACTGCTATGAAAATCGGTAAATGGAAGCGGACAAAGCTGTAATAGCAGAAAAATAATGTTACATTGAAAATATATAAGCGGGAAGCTGAATTAACACTTTGGCTCGCATAAAACATCTAAACCGGCCAACACTTAGCCAAAAAAAGAGTGTTGTAAACTAAAATAAACATTAATAAAAACATAAAACAAAAATTAGAAAGAACACATCGTCTAGGGTTTTCGACAGTGAGTTCTCTTTGTCCGATTCGAGTTCATGGCTCGGTCACAAAGCGACTAACTCGATCTATACCTCCACGAATTACTCCGGTCTCTACGATCTGCTCTTCACCGGCTGAACCAGAAGAATCTCGACCGTTTGCATCCATATCTTTGGTCGAATCCTGGATTAAAAGGTAACACTGATTCTGAATCTTAGAAACCTAAAATTAAGTTTGTCTTTCTGCTTGATTTCACTATCAAATATGCTAGATTTGACTTAATTTCATTATTATGACACGAGCGTTAGGAGTCAAAACTGAAGAGGTGCCGAGAGGGTGGAGACGAAAGATACAACATACTCCTGCCAGACTTTGTCAGGAAATCGGTCTTACAGGTGATTATAACTGATTTAGAGGGTTGTAGTTGAATATCTGGGTTTAGATTTCCTTTGCATGTAGAAATTTTTTTCTTCCCGAGCTACTTTATAACTACGGGTCCATTTGTGTTTATGGTCTGCTTGCATAAGGAGCACTGGTTAGATTAGTGCTGTTTTCGTTTGAGTAATATACATATGTTTCAGGGTGTTGTTGATGTTTCAACAACGCTTGTGATTGACTAGTTCTGCTAACGATTTCATAAAGATTAGACCACATAATGCTGGACAAGGCGTGGGTTTACCTTTGCAAGTATAAAGTTCAAATATAGCTAATCACTTATAGAGTATGGGGTTTGTAGTTTACATTATTAACTTTGATTTCTTTTTAATGGAAATGGATTTTCAGAGCTGATCCAGCATACGAGATAGGTGCAACTAATTTCGTAAATGCAGTTGCTTCTGCATTAGGAGGTGTTGATATGATAGTATGTCCTTGTGTTGACTGTCGAAATGTAGACCGACACTCAACTGGTGATGTAATCGATCATCTGGTGACAAGAGGAATGGAAGAGACTTAGAAGCATAGAAGTGACTGGTATCATCACGGTGAAGGTACAGCAAATTCAGAAGATGATACTGTAAAGGGTAGAGAGTGGAACGAAGATATTTTAGGGTTATTTCAGGCTACAGAGTACTGAAACGAAGAGTTAGCTAAAAGATCTGAATTAGTTGATGTTGCTGAGGGATTAGACAACAAAGAGGATGAGTTTCTGGCAAGGCTAGCTGATGCTGAAACCCCTTTGTATCCTACATGCGAAAACCACAGTAAGATATCCGCTACTGTCTCTCTGTTCAGGCTTAAGACTCAAAATGGATGGTCGGATAAGAGTTTCAACGACCCGCTTGAGACACTACCCAAGATGTTGCCTGAAGACAATGTCCTTCACACATCCTTGTATGATGTCAAGAAATTTTTCAAGTCATTCGACATGGGATGGCAGAAGATACACGCTTGTGGGTAGTGACTGCTGCCTTTTTACAAAGAAGTTCAAGAAGCTAGACAGTTGTCCCAAGTGCAAAGCATCAC